TCCCTACCCGGTCTCACCCACCTTCACACATAAACGACGTCGTCCTTCCTAAATGAATAGATCCTGGCCATAGATCTCACTTGATCCAACGACCATGATCTAAAACTCTAAAACATATATAAAGCCCCACCTTGCTACCCCGCCCCTATCCAAACACCCCCCGGCTTCATCGTCTCCAGAGACCAACCCTAATATCCCAAACCCTAGCCGCCACCCTTCACCTTCACCGTAAAGCCGGCGGCAAGGACGCCGGTGACCACCCCCCTAACACCCCTGATGCACCTCACCACCCCAAACCCAAATCTGTTACCCCCTTACCTCGAATTAGCCCCCGCCCTCTCGAATATTGATTTGAAGATTCGAGACCAAACCCAGATCTACATTAGGATTAAACTAATGTAATAGTGGGGAACCAAACTTGGTAGCATGGGGCTGATTAAATAAAAGGACTGCCCATGCCTTTGGGCAGAAACACACATGCTAGGAGGCTGTCAAATAGATGGGCATGGGGAATACTTTTGATTAGTTTTAAAAGAAGTTATGGGCAGGAAAGAAGGGAGGGGATCAAGGCAGCCTAGTGCTTGCCATTTCTGCCTATAAATAGGTTTGTTTAGGAAAAAAGAGGGGGTTGGAGAAAAAGAGCTGAAGGTTTTTTTAAAAAAAAGAGTGTTAAGTCTTGCATTTTTAGGTTAAGCTTTACATCAAAGGGCTTGAACTTGTCTTTGCTCTTGAGTGTGTAACAAAAAATCAGAAATCACTACCTCTCGTACTAGTCTGTGTACTGTTTAAGCACTGCTGGATTCTCAGTTTGGTAGTGTCCAGTTTTTGTTGGTTGAATATTGTTCCATCAGTTTACTCTGGGAATACTGTTTTGGTTTTAAGCAACTGTCGCAACTGGTTATTTTTATTGATTTCTGTGGGCTGTTGCTGTTTGGTTTTCTGGACTCGCTATTGGGTGTGTCTCTTAAATTGCTGTTGAGCCTTGGTATGCTTTTCTTAGACTGTCTCTTTTACTGGTTTGGGGCTGTTCGACTGAGTGTGCTTCTGTTTGCTGATGTTGCTGTGTTTGTTGCATACTACTCAGCTGATCATTCTCCTCCTTCTTCTTTTGCTTTTCTATACCAGGTACACGACTAATACACTGTCAATGTAATTTGAAAATTGAGCATGAATACAAAAGAGAAGAGTTGAAGATGTTATTTTCATACATAGCCTGTTATATTGAATATCATGTAATGTATAATAATTTACATTTTTGCTTGGATACTGGAGGTAGACCTCATACATAGTGAATGTCAATGTATGGTAACTGGATGTCAGATTGTGTATATAGGCTGGTAGATAAAAGGATTCACAATGCAGTAGGTTATATCTTAGACTTAAGCCATGTTTGTGATTAGCATATCCTTTAATGCATGTTAAGTATGAAAACAATCCATTGTTAGTTAATTTCATTTCCTTTTGATAAACTGTCTCATTATAATTGGAAAACCATGCCTTTAGAACAAATAGCACAAGTCTGCATTTCTCAACCTCACGAAGGTTGAGCCCAAGTCGAACGAACCAAGCAGGCTTTCATCGGAAAAGCAGTGGCCCAGGCCCAGCCGATACTGTGTGGGCTGGGTTTGGGCCCATAATATTCGATAAGCTGCCCGTGTACGTGGCCATGCTTCTGATTTCGCGAAATCATTCGAAATCCCTCTATAAATAACCTGCAAACATGTAATTAAGTAGGATCATTTTTGCTTTTATTAAGTAGAGACAAACGTAACAAGAAACGTAGCCACTATAGGGTATCCTTTTAAAATAAAGATGAGACGAGCCTCGACAAACAAATAATGCACAAGCTGCAGGGCCCTCATTAAATATATATATCAAAGTACTTAGCTTCCAGGGCGGGCCGTTTAGCAAACCTCACGGCCTTCCCAGAATAATAACACGATAGTCTCTTTAGGCGCGTGTTTAATAATCTACTTTCCTAAACTTGGGTGTGCATTTCATGCGACCCAAATCAAAATCCCAAAACATCAAATAAAATGTGTTCCGGATTGTGGGCGCATTTCATGTGACACAGTCCAAAGACATGTTTTAAGCGATGTTCACATTCTTTTAAAACAATAATAATAAAGCGGTAAAAAGTTAAAATTGGCACATTGGTTCATAATTGTATTAAAAATCAGATAAACAAGCCGAATATGACAGTTGAGCGACCGTGCTAGAATCACGAAACTCGGGAATGCCTAACACCTTCTCCCGGGTTAACAGAATTCCTTATCCGGATTTCTGGTACGCAGACTGTAATATGGAGCCACTCTTTTCCTCGATTCGGGTTAAAATTGGTGACTTGGGACACCCTAAATCTCCCAAGTGGTGACTCTGAAATAAATAAACAAATCCCATTTCGATTGTCCTTTAATTGGAAAAAACTCCCTTGTACCCTCTCGGGTATGTAAAAAGGAGGTGTGACAGTAGTCATTCAATGAAATCTAATCCTAATATCTTGCCATATTTTTTTCTGGAATAAGCAAGGGTTGTAATAGGCCTGGACTTTTCACACTATCCCTTTTGCATTTCTGATGTACTTCACAACTCTTAATGTGTTCAAAAATATCTTGTTCCGGTAATAGAGTTGGCTCACCCTTTGTAAGGTAGCAATCATCCCTGAGTGACCCCCTATGGCTCCATCATGTAAGAATTGTAGGATTTGTTTTTTTAATTCCTTTCAAGGTCCCATAACTATCATTCCCTTCTTGTATAATACACTATCTTTTAGCATATATAGAGGAATAGCTAAAGGATCTTGTATAGTTGTTGAATGAGCTTCAATAAGTAATGATCAGATGTATAGAAAGACTTAATCTGCTCTAGGAAGTCTGAGGATACATAAGATAGGGTCAGTAGTTGAGCATTAACCTGGTCATTAACCTTGGGCACTCTAGATAAAGCATCAACTACCAGATTGTCGTGGCCCTTCTTGTAGGTAATGGTATAATCATATTCCATTAATTTGGCTAGCCATTTTTGCTTACTGGGATTAGAAATTCTTTGATCCATTAAGTACTTCAAACTCTGGTGATCTTTTTAATAGTGAAGTGTTTGCCAATAAGGTACGGTCTCCATTTCTACACAGTTGCAATAATAGCCATCATTTCTCTCTCATAAGTTGATAGTTGTTGATGTCTGTTACTTAAAGCTTTGCTCATGTATGAGAGTGGGTGCCCTTCTTACATTAAAATAGCTCTAATGCCTACTCCACAAGCATCAGTCTCAATAACAAATTCCAAGGAAAAATCAGGAAGTACAAGAACAAGAGTTGTGGTCATTGATGTCTTAAGCTTCTACAATGTTTCACTTGCCGTGTCACTCCATTCAAACTTATACTTCCTTAGTAGTCTAGTTAAGGGCTTTCCCAATACTATGTAGGGCCTCACATTCACTAGTGATGTTCCTTCCTTCAAGATGATCTTGTGATCATGGTCTATATGATATGGTAGGCTGGTACGAGTTTCAAAAAATCTTTAGTATTGGTCCAACAATCTCTGTAACGTTTCAGGTACCTCCAATTGTTTAGAGTTAAGACATGCTACTCCCTTGTTAATTGGTTGTACATCAACCACTAACATCGTGCTCAGGCTACCAAATTTAGTAGCTTCTCTATTTGTTAGTCTTCAATCACCTTGGATGTTCCCGTTTGGCTACCCCTTAATGATATTTTCTTGCCCCTATTTGGAACTCCATTTTCAGTTGCTTCAAGTTCCATTTTGTGTCTCCTAATGTAATGAGCCACTGAATGCGCAATACTACATCAACACCTCTAATGGAATGACTAACATATTAGCCTTGAACAGCACCCCGTGCATCCTCCATGCTACCCCCTACTCATGAAAGAATTGTGTACCTTGCTCCTATTAGCCACTGATACAAAGAAAGTGGGGATAGTTTCCAGTTTACATTTTAATTTTCTTGGAATGTCCAAATCCAGAAAATTGTGCGTTGAACCAGAATCTATTAACACATGAATTACCTTCCCTCTTATGCGGGCTCAAAGTAGACTCCTCACAGGTCTCTTCCTCTCCCACATATTCATCCACTTCTCCTTCCTCACCACTTTCCTCTACTTTTAGAATGAACAGTTGCTATTTTTTTCTTGCATACATGACCAGGTGTGTATTTCTCGTCAAACCAAAAACACAGCTCATCTACCCTTTTTTATCCATCTCAGCACTTGTAAGGCTCTTTGATGACTTCACTGCAGGCCGCCCATAATGATTAGGTAATTTGCTTAATTATGTTCCCTTTTAATTACTAGAATTCTGGCCTTGGGAAGAGCTTCTTGAAATGAGCTCCAATAAGAGTTAGGATTTGGGAGTATAGATATAGAATGTCTCATGGTCATCTGATTCTACACCTTCTGTAATTTTAGTGGGTGTTCATCTAGCATAAGGTGTGTCGGTTCTTTATATTATGGCAAAAGGTATGTCGATTCTTTATATTATGACAATTAAGGACATGTATGATAGGGCTAAGACTCAGGTTAGGACAGTAGGAGGTGACTCTGAGCATTTTCCGGTTGAAATGGGGTTGCACCAAGTCTCTGCGCTCAGTCCATTCTTTTTTGCCCTGGTGATGGATGCGATAACAAACCATATTCAAGGGGAGGTGCCATGGTGCATTCTATTCTCCGACGACATAGTTTTGATTGATGAGTCACGAGCCGGTGTTAAAAAGAGATTGGAAGTTTGGAGACAGACTTTTGAGTCTAAGGGTTTCAAGCTAACCAGAACGAAGACAGAATACCTCAAGTGTAAGTTCAGCGCTGATCCGGGGGAAGTGAACATCGATGTGAGGCTTGAGTCACAGGTTATCCCAAGTAGAGGTAGCTTCAAGCACCTTGGTTCGATTATCCATGAGGGATTGGAGATCGACGAGGATGTCGCACACCGTATTGAGGTAGGATGGATAAAGTGGAGGTTAGCATCTGGAGTCTTGTGTGATAAGCGAGTGCCAACGATACTCAGAGGTAAGTTCTACAAAGCGGTGGTTAGACCGGCTATGATGTATGGGGCTGAGTGTTGGCTTGTTAAGAACTCATATATCCAAAAGATGAAAGTAGCAGAAATAAGGATGTTGAGGTGGATGTGCGGGCACACTAGGATGGATAAGATTAGGAATGATGATATTCGGGAGAAGGTGCACATGACTCCCATTGAGGACAAGATGCGGGAAGCAAGGCTCAGATGATTCGGGCATGTACAAAGGAGAAGCCCAGATGCTCCAGTAAGGAGGTATGATCGGCTGGTTGTGGAAGGCACGAGAAGAGATAGAGGGCGGCCTAAGAAGTATTGGGGAGAGATGATCAGGCAGGATATGGCGAGACTTCAGATTTCTGAGGACATGACACTTGATAGGACGTTGTGGAGGTCGAGTATTACGGTTGTAGGCTAGGAGGTAGTTGAGTCTTGTGTTACTTTGTACCTTTGTGAGCCTAGTCCGGTAGGGTTTTGTCTAAGAGAGCTAGCGGCAATGTCGTGTCTTACTATTTTCTTTTTCGGCATTGGATCCATTTACTAGCCACCATTTTTGCTTTGCATTTTTCTTCTGCATTTTATGTTCCTATTTTTCCTATGATCTTCACGATGAATCTAATATCCTCTCCTTTTGTCTTCTTTTTATTATCTTGATCCGAGGGTCTTTCGAAAACAATCTCTCCACCCCTTCGGGATAGGGGTAAGGTCTGCGTACACACTACCCTCCCCATACCCTACTTGTGGGATTTTATTAGATTGTTGTTGTTATTGTTGTTCATCTAGCTTAACTAAATTGTAAGCCTTCATCAATGTCTTTGGGGCTAGCATTCTAACCTGAACTTCTATTTCTGGTTTCAATCCTTTCAAGAAACAACTGATAGAATACTGTTCGGACAACTTCACTTGATTAAAGGAGTCCATCAAAATTATCCAAAAATTCTTGAACACCTCCGGTCTGCTTTAAGCCAAGCAATTCAAACATGTGACCTTCATACAGGGTATGTCCAAATCTCAAATACAAAGACCTCACATAATCCCCCCAATTAGGTATCCTCCCCCCGCTCGAGATTTCATCATTGATTGATGCCACTGTAAGGCTCTCCCTTCCAAATTAATAGAAACAATTCTAACCTTTTACTCTTTAGACGTGTAATCATAATCAAAAAATTGTTCATACCTATACACCTACCCTTTAAAATCTTCGCCATTAAATTTCTAAAATTCTATACGAGAATATCTTCGCCATTAAATCGTTATGTCGCTCACCAAAGATCCGGACTTGCTCTCTAATTTCATCTACCTCCCGTCATAATTCGCCATTTTTGGTTGTTTCTGACATGATTCGTGACCATAGTTCGACTGCTCTAATAATAGTGTCGCGTAGCAATGGAGGTCCAGTATTGGAAATGAATCTAAGAGATTAGGGAAAAGAATAATCTCTGAACAAGACACTTCAAGAGTAATTGAGACTAAGAAGAGAGGGAACGTTTATTGATATTTTACATATCCATTCCTTAGAATGTATCAAGTATTTATGACCACTCTAACAAACAATTAGCTAAGCTCACTAACTAACTTCTGACAGCTAACCGTATAACTAACTCCCAAGTAAATTGACTGATATACCCCTTCTAACTAATTGGCACATAACAATTGTACTGTTATTTGATGTGCACCACGATTGTTTAGGCTCTAAATGACGAGGAATTTTGGTTTAATTGGTGAAACGACTCAATTTGAATTGGTGTAAGAGGGCCAAATCATATGAAAGGCAGCCTGATGCACCAAGTTCTCGTTATGCGCGGGGTCTGGGGAAGGGCCAGACCACAAGGATCTATTGTACGCAACCTTACCCTATATTTCTGCAAGAGGCTATTTCCACGGCTCAAACTCGTGACCAACTCACATGAAGAATGGTGAAAATAACATGAGCTAGTCAATTTTCGGACTGGCAATTAAAAATTATTCAGCATTTGCTAAGTCATTGAACAATAGCTAATGTTTTGCTGAAACACAAAAAGTTCCAGCATAATATGCTGGATTATGAAGCTCCTTCGTATAAACTTCCAGCATATTATATTGGAACTCAGCATACGAAATCATAATATGCTGGATTATGGAGCTCATACATATAAACTTCCAACATATTATGTTGGAACTCATACACATTATGAAATTCATATGTAACAAATTCGAACTCCAATATATTATGCTGAATCTAAATCTAGTTTTGTCGACTTTTTCCCCTTCGCAAGATATACTTGAGGCCTAATCTAAATCTAGTTTTGTTAAACTTCCATCTTTCAACCACGAGTACATGTGTTTGGGTTTGGGAGTACTGTGGAATCCCAAAGAGCGACCGATCTAAATGATTTGCATCCCTGTTGGACCGGAATCGCTTTTAGGGGGTGACTTGCTATCTGCTAAATTCTATTCTATTCCATTATTCTTGTTCAACAGTGTCACATATTTTACCAACACTCTTAATTATAATCATAAAACTTAGTTCTGTGGAATTGTCAGATCACTTATACGAAACAATTGCATTGATCTCTTTCGTCTTAATTTATGACATTGGCCAACTTTAAGTAACGTGCTAGTTGGTTCAAACAGGACAATTTCTTAGGAAAAGAAAAAAGTCTTAATTTAACCTAGTTAAATCGAATTTTCTTTTGATGTCCAATAAAAATAAATAAATAAATAAGGTTTTAACCTCGTCGGACATTTTCTAGTAAAAGCATATTGTTATAATATGAGAAACTTTCAGAAATCACTATGTTTTAGTGGTTATTAGCTAGTTGTAGCTATCATTTACTATAATACTTCTTATAGCTATGTTTTCAGGTTTTTTATAGTGTATTTGATGTATTTAAGCTAATGTATTCATGAATACAGTAGCATTTCTAGGCGTGAAGCAGGGGATTACAGCTAGACAAATTATTGTATTCGACTATATTCACGATATGTATTTGTGAATACAGTAATGTAAATAGCGCAATTCATGGTCTATTCAGCTGTTTTTAAATGGAAAGTGAATCAATTATCATAATAGGCTCATAATATAACTCAACAAATTCAATTATAACACACAAAATTTGTATTTCCACTTATAAAAAAAACTCTCAACCGAAAAACACCCCAAAAACATAGCAACTTCAGAGACAATATGCTGAATATTTTTCCCAGCAGATAAATACAACAAAAACAGAGCAATTTGAATACNATATATATATGAATACATTCATAGAATACAACGAGACAGTGAATACAATGAAATACAATTAAATACAATGAAAAAAAGACAATGAATACAATGAAATACAAGGAAATACAGTGAGATACATTGAAATATATTAACAGAAAATTCAAGTTGTTCAGCCCCAAACTCCGTTGTCTTTGTTCAAGAACAAGCCTAATGTCGTTTCGTCGAGAGGGCCGCGATTCTGACTCGAAACGCCACTGTTCCTGTTACCATAATACTCTCACGTGCGCTTTAAAAAACCTGTTCTTTACAATTGAAGTCGCCGGAGCCACCGTCAGCAGTCCACAGTCTTGACGGAGTTTACAAGCACCATGGGCACAAGCAGTCCCCAACGGCAGTGGTGAGGTTGAAGCAACATCAGTATCCAGTCCTCGCTCACTGTCACTGTTGCCTCCGGTTGCCGTTGTTACGCCGATTTTTTTTTTATATCGGATGATTGCTCGGCCGCCCAAAAGTCTTCACCGGAAAACTCTAATTTTGATGCTTTACCGGAGAGTTCTGGTAGTAAGATGAAGGTGGAGAGAGAGAGAGAGAATAGATATGGGGGTGGATTTGAACGTATCCCTGCCTTCAACTGATGGAGAATAGAGGGAGAATACATTAAACGTATCCCTTCCTTCAATTGGATGGATTTGATGCTTTGCCGGAGAGTTTTGGTAGTAAGATGAAGGTGGAAGATGAGAGAGAGAGAGAGAGAGAGAGAGAGAGAGAGAGAGAGAGAGAGAGAGAGAGAGGGAGAATTGATATGGGGTAGGGAATACGAGAAATTTGAGGGGATATGAAAAATTTGAGTGGAGAGAGAAAAATAATACAAAACTTATTTTATGGCTTAAGGGTAGGAGGTGGCTATAAATGGATATTTGGCTATAAAAAATCAAAAATTAGCTATGGAATATATTTTTTTTACAAAAATATTTATTTAAAATAAATAAAGCATCTACCTTTACTATAGGAGGTAACTAATCCTTATAATATTCCTTCTCTTTTTGACGTTGTCATAGAGTAGTTTTTTTCCTGCCAGTTGTTTAGTTTGAGCGGATCAATTGATCCTGTGGTGTATTATAACTTTTTGGACATTAGAATTAACCAGCTTGACAAACTTTTGTTTTTAGCGGAAGGATGAGATACAAAACAACCGAACGCCATAGGAGACATAACTATTGGCGCGCATGGCAATAATATTATATTAAGATAGCTTAATTAGAAAAACATGTAGGGATTAAAGACGTAGGCTCCTTTTTTTTGGGTATGGCTATTAGTGAGTGAGTTAGACAAAGTAGATGAGTTATGTTCTTACTATTTTTAGCCAAAGTAGATGAGTTATGCTTTCTTACTATTTTCAGCCATGATTTAATCACACTCACGCACGCAAACGCGTATTTTTATTTGTAGGTAAATGAAATTCTATGGGCCCAAATTTGAACAACCCCGACATTTGATGAATACGACGAACGATAAGATCCCCGTAGTTCGACATCTTGCAAAGGACGACCTTAAGGCGAGCAAGAGATTGTACGACTCTTGCAGTAGTGCATGCCCGTTAGGGGACATTAGGAATATTCTTTCGAATATTCCCTGTAACTTGTCTTTTAGAGCTTAGAAGAGTTTTGCTCCTTATATATATATATAGCGTAAAACAACCTTAAAGGGGCCCTGAGCACTTTTCCTAACACAGAACACTTGTTGTAAACTTGCTTACAAAAGCGACCGAGTGGATTATCGTTGAAAAGGTTTTTTGGTCTTGACAAAGAATTCTCATCACTTATATTCTCTTTATCTATCTTTTGTTCTAGAGATTATTATACTTAGCTAAGATTTACTCCTTCATTTTCTTTGATTGATTTATTCAAAAAGGTTCCGATATCTTTTGAGTCAAACAATTTGGCGCTGTCCGTGGGGATTTCTATAGCTGAGATCTTAGTTTCGTCTAGATTCTTGAAAGAAATAATCACCTCTTCTTAGCCTCACAAAAACTAATAATGGCAGGAAAGGGAGAAGCAAGGCTAAAGGCAATAGTAGGTATCACGAACAACCTTCTGACTTCCCTCAACGAAGCCGGTAGGGAAGACAACGAAAACGCAACACCAAGTGCTACACCTGAGGGAGAGATCTCACCCCCCTCCCGCACGAGGGCTTAACTTTCCCGCGCGGGAGGGAAACCTCAACATCCGCAATAGAAGAAGCACCACCGGTCGTGAAAAGGCTATTAGAAGAATGGTTGACAAACACCTTGAGCAATATACTCGAGAAACCCGTTCAGAGGGATATCGAAGGCACAATAATCGCAAGAACCGTAGTTGTCGCCGATGAGCCAGAAACTCCACGAACAGGTAACACCCATACTGTCATTGATGCAGGCAACGATGCACTTGCGACCATCTTAAAGAAAATAGAAGAGATGGAAAATGAGAACAAAACACTCCTCGATCAGATGAGAGAGCATCAGGAAAGGGTTGATAAAATACCAGGTGCTCCGAAGTTACTACCAAAATGTGATGTGGGCCGATTCGTCGAACAACCATACAATGAAGGGGCAACTCCCCACTCTATTCCGAAAACCTTTAAAATGCCGCCATATTTGAAAATATATGATGGCACCATGGACCCGGAGGATCACTTAATCCACTATGTTACTGCAGTAAAAGGTAACGATCTATCGAAAGAACAGGTGTCGTCACTACTGCTGAAAAAGTTCGGCGAAACTCTAACGAGGGGAGAGTTGACATGGTATTCCCAACTACCAGCATGATCGATATCAACGTTCGAAGACATGGCAGATAAGTTCGTCAACGCTCACGCGGGAGTGAAAAAGGCAAAGGCCAGGGTAAATGATATCTTCGCCGTCAGGCAGACAGGTGAGGGACTTCGGGATTTCCTAGCCCGATTCAACAGGGTAAGGATGAGCCTGCCAAACGTGTCAGAAGGGATGGCGGTAGCAGCCTTCTAAAATGGGTTAAACAGAAACGGGTCAAAAGCAACCAAAAAGCTGCTAAGTAGACTCATAAAGTACCCACCACCACCACCACCACCACCACTACCACGTGGGAAGAGATCCATAATGCCTATTGCGCCGAAGTGAGGGCAGGCGAGGATGATCTGAACGGCCCGATCCAGCTACTAACATCGATCCAAACCGAAACAAGGAGAGATCGCCTCAACAATGGCTGAAGGGATCAACTACCCCGCTTCAATCGAGAAAGGCACCAGCTTTATATCCGAACATCCAATCCACCTCCTCCATGACATACAGATGTCGCGCCTCAATACACCGCACCATCCCAAAATGAAAGAGGTATGCCTCCACTGTTATCTGCTCATAACTTTTGTGTTTCTCCTTTAAAAATAGTGTACGCACTGGAAAAGCTCGGCACAAAAGTGCAGTGACCGCAAAAGATGAAATCGGATTCGAGCACTAGGAGATCGAACGTTATGTATGAATTCCACCAGGAAAGGGGACACAAGACCGAGGACTGCATAAGTCTACTACATGAAGTGGTAAAAATGTTAAACCAGGGACACCTGAAAGAACTGCTGAGCGACCGAGGACGAGTCAACTTCGCTCGTTGGTGCGATCAACCTCAGGGACCTCCAAAACCACCATCACCAGCTCGTACCATACAAACGATCATTGGCGGCGGCGACGATGCGATAATCAACTATGTGAAATTCACCACCACACACAAACTCAAACGGACAGTCGTCCACGAACAGTATGACGACCTCGAAGATAGTATCATCTTCGATAAGTCGGATACCAGCAGTTTGTCTTTCCCTAACTATGATGCTTTGGTTATAACTTTACGCATCGCGGATACCAACGTAAAGAGAATAATGGTGGATGACGGAAGCGGCGCGTGTATTATTCACCCACGAGTTCTCATGTAGATGAGGCTCGAGGATAAAATAGTACCGCGTTGCATAACACTAACAGGTTTTAATAATGCAGTGGAACGAACCTCTGGAGAGGTAGTGCTGCCCGTTCTGGCAGGAGGCGTCACCCTGGAGACGACGTTCCATGTCATGAACCAGGAAACATCCTACAACGCCATCATAGGGCGTGCATGGATACACGCCATGCGAGTCGTCCCGTCAAGTTTCTATCAAGTAATCAAATTTCCTTCCCTATGGGGGATATTCAACATCCGAGGCGAGCAACGCACCGCCCAAGAATGCTACCAGATCGCCCAAGATTGCACGTACACCAAACAACTAAAAGGGGCAAGTGCGGAAGCATAGCAATCATCCATATCGGGAACCAAACCCGACGTACAAATAGAGGCTATCAAAGACCCGGATGTCGTAGAAGCTTGCAAGGCAACCATAGAAGATCTCAACCCCGTCCAACTAGACAACACTGATAGCACAAAAAAGCTTATATCAGACATAACCTCTTAGAACCAGGTAAATATCATAAGTTTTTGACTAATAACGCCGATTTGTTTGCCTTTTCCCATTCAGATATGCCAGGAATCCCAAAGGAAATCGCCACACACAGGCTAAATGTCGATCCTCTTTACCCGCCATTACGGAAAATGGGGAGAAAGTTCAATGCCACCATCAATGAGGCGGTCAACGAAGAAGTTGATAAATTACTCGCTAATGGTTCCATCCAAGAATCGAAATATCCCCAATGGGTCACCAATGTGGTCATGGTCAAAAAGAATAACGGGAAATGGCGGATGTGCGTCGACTTTACCGACCTGAACAAAGCATGCCCGAAAGATTCCTTTCTATTACCACATATCGACCAGCTCATCGATGCAGCGGTGGGACACGAACTGTGAGCTTCTTAGACGCCTATTCTGGTTACAACCAAATTCTAATGGCTGAAGAAGACCAAGAAAAGGTCACTTTCATCACTCACCGGGGTACATACTGCTACAAGGTAATGCCATTCGGACTCAAGAACGCAGGGGCGACGTATCAAAGGTTAGTCACCAAGATGTTCAAAGAACAACTCGATAAGACCATGGAGGTTTACATCGACGACATGCTAGTAAAGTCAAAAAAGAAAAAGGATCACATTGACCATCTGAAGGAAGCCTTCAAGATATTGAGGCAATACGGAATGAAATTGAATCCCGAAAAATGCGCCTTCGGCGTAACTTCAGGAAAGCTCCTTGGTTTTCTGGTGTCACAAAGGGGTATCGAAGTCAACCCGGATCAGATCAGGGCCATCAAATGAAAACCAGAAACATTAACCAGCAAGAAGCAGGTGCAGAAATTAACATGATGAATAGCCGCCCTGTCAAGGTTTATTTCACGATTGTCGGATAGGTGCCATAAATTCTTTAATGTGCTAAGGAAAGACCACGAACTACAGTAGAATTCGGAATGCGTCGACGCCTTAAGAAAGCTGAAAGCATATCTATCTTCTCCACCCCTACTCGTCAAGGCAGCCCCGGGCGAATGCCTACTAGTGTACCTAGCAGTCTCCGAAGTCGCGGTAAATGCAGTCCTGATCCGCGAAAACAAAGGTACGCAATCTCCGATTTACTATATCACTAAAACCTTAATTGATGCCGAAACAAGTTACCCTCATCTTGAGAAACTAGCTTTGGCATTAGTCGTAGCTTCACGAAAGCTTAGACCATATTTTCAATGTCACCCCATAAAAGTGGTGACAACCTTCCCCCTCAGGGCCATCCTACACAAACCTGAACTATTGGGCAGATTGGCCAAATGGGTCATAAAATTAAGCGAGCATGACATAACATACCAACCGCGAACTGCTATTAAGTTGCAGGTGCTCGCTGATTTCGTCGTTGATTTCAGCGCGGAAATATTACCTAAAGTAGAGCGGGAGGCACTCCGCTCTTCCGCACATTCTGACCTCTGGGTCCTCTAAATAGACGGTGCATCTAATGCATCGGGATCAGGACTGGGACTCGTCCTCAAAGTTCCTACGAGCGAAGTAATTTGCTAGTCCATACGATGCCACAAGATGACTAACCACGAGGCCGAGTATGAAGCTATGATTGCAGGATTGAAATTAGCCCTCAAATATGGCGCTCGACAACTCGTCCTCCATTGCGATTCTCAACTCGTGATGAACCAATTCATCGGGACTTTCCAAATTAAAGAACAGAGACTATAAAAGTACCAGTCAGAAATTCACAAACTACTGCCAGAATTCGATGAATGTCGCCTCGACCAAATACCCAGGGCACAGTATATCGAAGCAGACGACCTCGCCAAGCTAGCGGCAGCCATCAAAAATATCAACAAGGAAAACGTGGTCACTCTTCTCAATTCCACAGTAGACCAAGTCGATGTACATTCCGTAAACCTAACTTGGGACTGGCGCAACCATCTCGTAACGTATTTGTAGGATGGAACGCTCCCACAAGATAATAAAGAAGCCAAAAACTCCGAATACAGGCAGCCAGATATAGCCTCGTAAACTGTAATCTTTACAAGAGAACGTTCGGCAGCCCCCTGGCCAAGTGTCTGGGTCCAAATCAAACAAGGCGAGTACTAGAAGAAGTACATGAGGGGCATTGCGGCGCCCACACGGAAAATCGCGCCCTCGTCCGATGCCTCATCCGCGCCGGATACTACTGGCCCACCATGAAAAAATAAGCCACGAACTACATCAGAAAGTGTGAGCAGTGTCAAAAATATGCCCCTATGATACACCAAGTAGGAGAACTCTTGCATTCCGTCATTTCTCCATGTCCATTCATAAAGTAGGGGATGGATATTATCGGACCCCTCCCGGTAGGACGAGGTAAGGTACGCTTCCTTCTGGTTTTAATTGACTATTTTTCTAAATGGGTGGAAGCAAGTACGTACACTCAAATACGTGAGCAAGAGGTCATCGTGTTCATATAGAAAAATATAATATGCCGCTTCAACATCCCCAAAGAAATCAGCTGTGACAATGGACCTTAGTTCGTTGGAAAGAAAACAACTGAGTTTTTTGAAAAATGGCACATCAAGCGAATACTCTCCATACCATACCATCCCGCCGGCAATGGCCAAGCCGAATCCTCCAATAAAATAATACTGAATATATTGAAAAAGAAGCTTAAGGACGCCAAAGGGCTATGGCTTGAACTACTACCAGAAGTACTATGGGCATAACGCACTACGCCAAAAACTAGCACAACATAAGAATGGTAGCCCAAAAGCAACAAGTGGAAATGTACTACAACAAGAAGGCCAAAATACGACCGCTCAAGGTCGGAGATTACGTCCTCAAAGCTAAAACACAAGCGGCGAAAGACCCTAATGAGGGAAAACTGGGACGGACCATATAAAATCACGGCGGCAGCGAACAAATGAGCATTCCAATTAGAGACAATGGAAGGAAAACTACTCCAAAACAATTGGAATGTCACCCATCTCAAATACTTCCACTTCTGAAAAGAGGCGCCACCTAAGTCATACTCTTTTTCCCTCACCCGGGTTTTGTCCCAATCGGGTTTTCTCGGTGAGGTTTTTAATAAGGCAACAAAGAGGGACGTCTCGAGGTTCAAAGTATTGTTTATTACCCCGCCCGTCGACGTGTTCTCCGGGCCGAGTAATGAAGGGACTGGATATATATAATCAAATCTCTGTTGTATGTACAAAGTCGATATGTGTTTCATAGAATATAATTAAATCTCCATTGTATGTACAAAGTCGACATATGTTTCCTAGAATAATATAATCAAATCTCTATTGTATGTACAAAGTCGACATATGTTTCCTAGAATAATATAATCAAATCTCCATTGTACGTATGAAGTCGACATGTATTTCTTA